AACGACTGTCTAATAACCACAATGCAAGAATCTCAACTTTAATAATTGGTTTATATTGCACTATTAAAGTGTTATTGTTTTTGTATCAATAAGGTCTATTTATTGCCTAATGTGTAATTCAAAGTAGTCTCTGTGAGACTGGCTTTGGCATTGTTTGAATAAATCAAGTGCTAAGGAAATGCAGTGTCTCCAATGTTTTAGTTCCCTCGAAGTCTGATCTATATTTATCGCTACTGGAATTTGTTTATGCGACTTTCAGGATGTCCGACTTTTGTTGCAGGCAGGGATAATCAGATTATGCATTAAACAGGCACTTTTTTCTGACTCTAAAATATGGAAAGTTAAGTCAGTGAAAGTTAGAAATGAGTGAAAATGTGTGAAAGTGCATTGGGTGTAATGGCAGCATCTTTTACAGCACATATTAATGCTAAATTTTAAAATATATCAACATTTTGATGTCTATTTTACGTCTCTTCACGTTGACTATTGTTCATTGCTTGTATGTTTTGGATCCATTAAAAGAGCCGGATCGCAAGTCATTAGTTCAGGAATCAATTTTCACTGGTTTCTCTTTTTTTAAGCTTTTTTTTAAAGGGGTCATATGATGCTGCTAAAAAGAACATTATTTTGTGTATTTGGTGTAATGAAATGTTTATGCGGTTTAAGGTTCAAAAACACATTATTTTCCACATACTGTACATTATTGTTTCTCCTCTATGTATACGTGAATCACGTAAATGATCAAAACGGTCGTCGAGTAGTTTGTATCACAGAATATTACTGTTGGTCATTTAACATTTCTGTTGTAAAACAGCTGTCAACTAATCAATGTTTTCCTACTTACCTCACACTCTTTCACTGTTAAAAAATGCCGTGGTGTCGCGCTGGAACAGTAAAGCCCCGCCCTTCTTTGATTTGATTGGCCATCTAAATCATTCTGACATTGACGAGCGCTGTCTGGTGTTTTTATTTTATTTTATTTTTTAATCATAAATAAATATTGAATTTGGCAGGGACATTTTTCTGCGTGAGAAAATGGATGTGTGGCGTGAGAGCGTGAGAATAGTGTCAATTGCGTGAGTCTCACGCTGAATGCGTGAGAGTTGGCAGCCCTCATGTTAATTTGGCAAGTGTTTATATGCATCCAAGCAAGTAGATGCACATAAATGGAAGAAACCTGGAGGAAACCAAAAACACTGCATTTTTGGTGTTGATGGCGCGTTGACGCGGACAGCACAACCAGACAGAAAAGCGTGGTTGTGTGATCCAGTCGCCATATTTAGGGATATTTGCAAAACGTGTCATATTTCTCTCTTCAGTGGGTCTGGAAAAGCTGATGCAAGTTGGTGCATGACCCGTTATTTAGGACATATATAGAGTAAATAAAGCTTTAAAGTTAACGGCATTGTGCTTGAGACCATCAGTTTTCTCCCGATTTAATCCGGTACAAGCTGTTCTAGTGCTTGTGAAAAGGTAAGAGTTTTGTCTACTGTTGGAGATTCACATTGCTTATGTTTGCTTTCGTATGCTGTATGTGGGTTTGACTGTTTAAATAAGCCGTTTCTTAGAAGGTTCATCATTATCTGCCCTAATGTAATTCAAAACCTCAACAAGAGATACTTAACTGTATGGTCTGGCTTTGCTCTTCCAACAAATGAGGCAAAAGCATCATACAAACTGTTGCATGACTTTTCAAAGACTTGGAATACAATCTTAAAAATAAAGGGTGTTTTGCAGTGATGCCATTTTTGGTTCCCCAAAGAACTTTTTAGTGAACTATGAAAACCTGGTAATTGCAACTTTTTATTTCATAGTTCTGACTTTTTTTTCTGAGTTTATGTTTCACAGTTCTGACTTTTGCATGATAAACGTGCAAATCTGAGAAATAAAGTCAGAATTGCAGGATATAAACTGTCAAGATAGTCTTTTGATTTCCTCAAAATTGGACTTTACAACTCGCAGTTGGGAGTTTATATCTTGCAATTCGCAATGGTGCGAAATAAAGTCAGAATTGCAAGATATAAACGTGCAATTGTGGGAAAAAGTTAATTTCAAGATATAAATTCGCAATTGTGAGAAAAAAAGTCAGAATTGCGAGAGAGACGGAATTGCAAGATAAACACTGCAATTCTGAGAAATAGTCAAAATTGCGGGATATAAACTCTCAATTGTAAGGAAATTGTATTTGAATTTCCTCAGAATTGGACTTTACAACTCGCAATTGGGAGTTTATATCTTGCAATTCGCGATTGCGAGAAATAAAGTCAGAATCGCAAGATATAAACTCACAAATCTGAGAAACAAAGTCTGAATTGCGAGAAAGTCAGAATTGCAAAATATACACTTGCAAATGTGAGAAGAAAGTCAGAATTTATATAAACTTGCAGTTGTGAGGAAAAAAAGTTAATTTTAAGATATAAATTCGCAATTGTGAGGAAAAAAAATCAGAATTGCGAGAGAGCCAGAATTGCAAGATATACACGCTCAAATATGAAAAAAAGTCAGAATTGCCAGAGTCAGAATTGTGAGATATAAACTTGCAATTGTGAGGGGAAAAAAAGTCAGAATTGCGAGATATAAACTCGCAATTGTGAGAATCAGAATTGCAAGAAACTCATAGTTGTGAGAGATAAACTCGCAATTGTGATTAAAAAGTCAGAATTTCGAGATAGAAACTCACAATTGTGGGGAAAAAAGTCAGAAGTGCGAGAAAATCATAATTGCCAGATAAACTTGCAGTTGTGAGGGAAAAAGTCAGAATTGGGAGTTTGTATCTCACAATTCTGACATTTTTCTCAATTGTAAGTTTATATCTCACAATTCTGACTTTACTTCTCGCAATTGCGAATTGCAAGAAATTCAGTGCCAGTCAAGAACCTTAAATCTTTGGTTTTGCTCATTGATTTTGGTTTTCAAATCATCCATTTTCATTTCCCACAGGTTGAAGATGTCCAACTGCACCCTCAAAATCACCACCACAGTCGAGGACCTACAAAAAGTCACTTCCATTCCCACCTTCATTTTCGGGGTCCTGGGGAACATTTACGTCTTGGTGATGTTCTGCCGCCGTCCCAGAGCAAAATGGACCTACATGAACGTCTACATCACCAACATGGCCATCGCCGACTGCGCTCTGTTGACGTTCCTGCCCGTTAAGATTCATTACTACAGCAGGCCATTGGAAGAGCATTTAAAGGCACTGTGTAATTTAGTTTTGTTGGTTTATTACGTCAACATGTACGTGAGCATCTTCATCATCACGGCCATAAGCGTGGTGCGGTACGTGGCCATCAAGTATCCCATGAAGGCCAGGAATATCTTCTCTTGCAGGAACGCTCTGGTGGTTTGCGCGCTCATATGGTTCACCATTTGCTCCATCAGCCCGGTTTACTTCGTTACGGACTCCAATAACGACAAGACCATGTGCTTCCAGAGGGTCAAGGGAGCATTGTCGTTGCATTTCGTGTTGTTGTTGGTCATCGTTGGATTCCTAGTGCCGTTCCTCATCATGCTGTTCTGCTCCGTTAGAGTCGTTTGCACTTTAAAGAAACAGTTGGACGTCGGATCGCGTTCTGAGAAGATCCAATGCATGTTTATCATCGTGGCCAATTTAGTTGTTTTCGTCGTATGCTTTCTCCCCGTCCACTTGGGTTACCTCGTTAAATACATCGTGCAAAACAAGTACGCAAACACAGACGATAACGAAAGCTGCTACTATAAACTGGTCGCGCACAACTTCCTGCACATTGCTCTTTGCTTTTCCAATATGAACTGCGGTTTGGACTGCTTTAGCTATTTTTTCGCAACCAAAACGTCCTGGAATATGTGCTGCATGAATGACACTAACAATCAAGAAGGTGAATGTGATTACAACACCGTTTCGGATGCAGTTAGTACGCCAACGTAATTGTTTTGACTGGGTTTTGTTTTATTATGTGGTTCCTTTTTGAACGTTGTATACACTCTGTACTCATAAATAAGGGTTGCAGTATTAAACAAGGCTTTTGCATGATTAAAAAAACAGAATGCTAACTATGAATGTACTATGAATAGCTTAATCTGTACAATGGGCTAGTAATAAATGTTTACATTTCTACTCTGACGTCTTGAGCTCAATGGCCCTCTTGTGATCTCCTTGTAGGACTTGTTTTTAAACCTGGTGGCTGGTCCTGCTAATGACTAACTACCATTTTCCAAAACAAAGCTATGTTTTCCAACTGGCATTGAAGTGAACCTTGAATTTAACTGGAGCACATTGCTTGAGCCCCAATACACAACAAAAACCTATAACTCAGAAACACTGAAACCATATTGAGAAGTCATATTTTACTAACATTGTTTAACAATGCATCAGGCACTTTGTGGAACATTTGGAGTGGTGGTTCTAATCAAATGAATCGTTTAAACGAACAGACTCGCAGATTTCGAACGCTAATTTGATTCGCGAACCATTGTTTGTTGATTTGGTGGAAAAGATTAGCACCTGTTTGGCATGGAATCCGAAGGTTTATCTGACAAAAAAAAAATCAGCATCAAATTGATACAGAAAAATATCCAATAAACATTCAATGGAAATGCTTCATTTACAACACTATACATTTGCCGCGCGGGAATTCACGGATCATTTTGAATTGAGGTATAACTTGAATCAAAGTGAATCATTTAAACGAACCGTCTGACTCGCTGAAATGAACAGCATAATGCTTATTAAGTTTAGTTGTCACAACTGGATCTTCGTAATGGTCTTGAAGTATATTCCGAAATTGATTCACATGGGGGTCGTAAATCACTCGACTGTTTGTTGGTGAGGTGACACAACGGAAAATTTATCAAACAGAACAAGTCTCAGACCGCCAGCAGCAAACATAAACGCTTTTGTTTCCACTAAATCAACAGAACTGAACTGATTCGAAGAAAGCACAATAAAAGAACACGTAAAAAGCGCTCAATTATTATGCGCTCGAACGAATCGGTTCATTTGAACGAACTGTTCGAACAAACCGGTTTGTTAGATGATAACAAAGACGGTAAGAAAAGCGAAACACACAGAGTTTATCTGCTCTATCGATGCACCAAAGACAGCATGTGACCTAGCTCTCGATGCATTAAATATATTTGTGTTTAATGCATTGCATTTATGTATAAAGTAAGAACTTCTGTCATGCGCTTTTGTTTTTGAAGAGACGAAGTGTATCTGTTATAAGACTTATTTTATTTTATTCCACCGGACCGGCAGATGAACAGATCTCAGCTCTTTTCTCTAGTTGGGCATGTGAAAAGGTAAGAGTTTTTGATTTGACAGACTTTTCAAGCCTCTCGAGTTTCTTAATGTTGGTTTCACTCTCATATTTTTTTATTATAATGTTGATTGTGCGTGTGTCTTTGTGTGTTGTTTGACTTTTCTTCACTTCACAATGTCCATGTTTTATATAGCTACTACATTTTTCCATTGTAATAAAAAGTTCAGTAATTTATCTTCGTATTGGATGGCAATGTAATATTTCGTGTATCTACAAATAGCCTACTGAATTTTAGCACGTGCATCTGTCATAGGAATCATTTCAAGAAATGTATTTATAGAGCAGACTATAATATACAGATTACAAAGAGATCTATGATAAAAATAAAAAAAAACGTGTTTTCCGGCCAAGTTGTAAAACCAGTGGCAACAAACTATGAGCAGCAGTTATCTCTTTAGAGAAAAAAATACAGGAGCAAAGATTAAATAATGCAGATTGCTTGTTTGATAGCCTATGCACTGATATCAATGTGTAATATCTATTTAGATACATCTTACAAATGTAAGTTAATATCGCTAACACATTCATATCAAAAATAAATTTCCCATAATGCTTTGCAAGAATTTTATTTGAACTCGGTCGTTATAGCACAGCTGCTTATTATATAAATTATGTTTATATATTCATTAAACAAAAATGTCCTTAAAATCAAACAGTGAAGTTTATAAGAACTGCATTGAGTCAACATAATGCAAAAATTATGTATTTTTTTATTGCTAATATATATTTTTGAAATATCAAAATGTTTCTGTAAGTAGTTTCATGATTATAGTAGTATGTTTTTCGCCAGTGCCTCATTTATTTTTAATTCATTCATTAATTTTTTATTGTACGCTGTAAACAATGACTTTTCAAAGGTCTAAGCCTAGAACTGTGAAAAGTCATAAACGTTTAACAATTTTACATTAACATAACATTATATTGACATTTAACAATTATCGGAATGCAGTAAATAGGCTGTTTATTTTCAATTCTCATCAAAAAAAAAAAAATAGAAACAGGTTAAATTATTAAGTTACATGAGATTCAACTAGACAAACTTAAAAATAAAACTGAAAAGACTTGTACACCAAATTTGATTAATCATAGGTTCTGTTGTGGCCTTAAATTTTAAAGTTGAATTAGATTTTTTTTGTTCATAATGAATGTTATTATTATTATTTTGTTGTTTTTATTTACTTATTTTGAGTAGATTTGACTAATTTTTACCGCTGCATCAGTCTCATGATATTAATGGTTTAGTAGACCAAAAAACAATCGGCTATAGCAACATGAACACTAAATGATAGCCTATGTAAATATATTTTCTACCTATTTTTTTTTCTTGTACATTGTTGAACGCATTTAAAAATAACCATACATTTGAAAATACATTCACATATGCCATCTTTGAAAAAAAACAACAAAGTTATTTATTGTCTAGAATTTGTGTAACACATTTCAAAGATGTACGTCGTCTACGAACGTTCCAAAACTTACACTATATATTAAAAATTAAACGTTATTAAACCATCTAGGTTTGAACGCTACATGATTCCATCCATTTTATTTATTTTTTTTCTATCAGGTTGAAGATGTCTAACTGCACGCTGAACATCACCGTGGGAGTCCAGAACTTCCAGCTCGCTGCACTGATTCCCACCTTCATCCTCGGCGTCCCGGGAAACATTTACGTCTTAGTGACGTTCTGCCGCCATCCCATAACCGACTGGACCTACATGAACATCTACATCGCCAACATGGCGATCGCCGACTGCGTCGTGCTCGTGCTTCTGCCCGTCCGCATCGCGTCCTACATCTGGGAAAGTTCGCGACTCTGGGACCAAACCAACAAAGAGCTGTGTTACGTCCTCGTGTCGGTTTATTACGTCAACATGTACGTGAGCATCTTCACGGTCACCGCGATAAGCGTCGTGCGCTACGTGGCCATCAAGTATCCGTTAAAAGCCCGGGAAATTTTGTGTCGCAGAAACGCGCTGGCGGTTTGCGCGCTCATTTGGCTGGTCACGTGCTCATTCAGCGCTGCGTTCCATCGCGTGGACGAACCGGTAAAAAATACCACGATTAAGTGCTTTCAGAAAAACAAAGGAGAGGAATTACCGTTGGCCTTCATTCTGGTTCTTAACATCATTGGGTTCCTCGTGCCGTTCCTCATCATGCTCTTCTGCTCCGTTACAGTCATTTTCAAATTAAGGAAACGGTTGGAAATCGGATCTCGTTCTGAGAAGATTCAGTGTATGTTTATCATCGCGGCTAATCTGATTGTTTTCGTCGTATGTTTCTTTCCCATCCACTTCGGCTTTTTCTTCAAGTACGTCACGCAGGCGTACAAGCACTCGTGCAGTGCGCAGTTTTTCGCACATAATTTCGTTCACGGCGCGATGTGCGTGTCCAGCATGAACTGCGCGCTCGACTGCTTCAGTTATTATTTTGCCACCAGAACATCATGGAAACGGCGCAGCTCGAAACAAAGTACAAATGAAGAATACCAGTGTAATTATAACAGGGTCACACAATGACTTCTGGGAAACTTATGTGATATTAAAACGTGTTTCAATTTTGTAATAAACTTCGTAGTATATATATATTCAACTTTATAAGTGGTTTATGGAACAATAAATTAGTTTTTGTTAAAAAAATATTAACACGTTTTATTTCTATACATACTTTCGTATAAAATCTTTTGTATAGTATATCTTCTCAAGGGACAATACTGCACAAATGAAACTTGGATATATTTTAGAGTAGTCAATGTGCAACTTGTATAGAGGTACAAATGTACTGTCCTCTAAAAATAACAACATATAGCCATAATTGTCCAAATAACTGGCAACAAAAATGAGTACACCCTAAGTGAACATGTCAAAACTGTGTCCAAAGAGTCAATATTTTGTAGGGGCACCATTGTTATCTAGCACTGCGTTAATCCTCCTGGGCATGGAGTTCACCAGAGCTGCGCAGGTTGTTGCTGGGATCATCTTCCACTCCTGGGGTCGTTATCATGTTGGATAACTGCCGTTCGGCCCAGTTTCTGAAGGGAGGACATCATGTTCTGCTTCAGTATGTCACAGTACATGCTGGAATCCATGTTTCCCTCAATGAACCGCAGCGGCTCCCCAGTGCCGGCAGCACTCATGCAGCCCCAGACCATGAAGCTACCACCACCATGCTTGATTGTAGACAAGACACTTTCCTTGGTACTCCTCACCAGGGCGTCACCACACATGCTGGACACCATCTGAGTTTATCTTAGTCTCATCAGACCACAGGACATGGTTCCAGTAATTCATGCTCTTGGACAGGTTGTCTTCAGCAAACCGTTTGCGGGCTTTCTTGTGAGCCAGCTTTAGAAGATGCTTCCTTCTGGGACGACGGCCATGCAAACCGACTTGTTGCAGTGTGCGGCGTATGGTTTGAGCACTGACAAGCTGACCTCCCGCTTCTGCAACCTCTAAAGCAATGCTGGCAGCACTCATGCGTCTGTTTTTTGAAGCCAGCTTCTGTACCTGACGCACAGCACGAGGACTCAACTTCTTTGATCGACCCTTGCGAGGCCTGTTCCGAGTGGAACCCGTCTTAGAAAACCTCAGTATGACCCTGGCTGCTGTACTGCAACTCAGTTTAAGGGTGTTACAGATCTTCTTATAGCCTAGGCCATCTTTGTGGAGAGCAACAATTCTAATTCTCAAATAGGATTGTCCCTTGAGAAGATATACTAAAATGGTTGCTGAAATGTGAGGGGTGTACTCACTTTTGTGAGATACTGTGTATATATATATATGGATATTTTTATGAACATAAATTCCCATAAGTGTGTAACTTTTTAAATGTTTATGACAAACATACGTAACAAAAGAAAAATTAAAACCAAATTTTTTTTAATGTAAATCTAGACAAATTGATTGCTAAAAATTACTGCCAAAAATGTTATAGTGTTGTATTATTCCAAGATTTTATCTTTGCATGTTTACAGAAACTGCTTGAAAAAGGCAAACTGTAATTCAGGGTCTTCTGTGTACATTAATATTTTAAAAGCTTTACTGCTGTCTGTGTTTCTGTATGTATTTCATGTTGAGTTGGCGACGCAGAGAAATGAACTCTGATCAGTGTCTGTGTGCTGAATATATCATTCCTCATCTGAGGGTGTTTTGCATCTGAACGCCATCTATTGGACAGACAGAATCATAACTCCTAACCAGTAATGCCAGTATTAAATCATGCTGCACCAATAATCCTGTGTGAGAAATAAATCATCTGCCAAAGAAAGAGTCCGAAAGCCATTTATTTCATGTTGAGATGTTTGAGACGCTCGCAGGTGCTGCTTCAGAGACGCTCCTCTGATACGCACAGAGCTGCAGGACGCCTGAAACACACCATTCACAAACACAAACATTTACTATGATGCATGAAGAAGAAAAACAAAACAAGGAACTGTTATTTGTTTGTTTTTTTTACAATTATGAACTATTATGATTTTTTTATTAAAAAAATGTGAAAAAAGAAAGAAAAATATAGTAATTTTTTAAAAAATAATAAAAAAAAGATTTATTTTTGCACAAAATTTTAAAATTTTAGATTTTTTTTTTTTACAAAACAATACCCCTTTGTTCAGAATAATACTTTGTATTATGAATAGTTATTTATTTTTGAATTAATTCAATTATTTATTTTCTTTGAACATTAAAAAAGCCTTTAAATAAAATGTTCAAAACTTTTGTTTTTGTGAACAATAAATTTCTTTAATAATTTTTTAGTTTTTTTTTTATAGTTTTCCTTGGGAAAAATAAAAAAAAAATGTTTAGGAAAAATTTCAAAATTCTTTAAATAAGATTAGATGATGTTCAAAACGGCACGTTCTTGTTTTCGTAGAGTTTTATAGAAAAAACCTGTTATTTGTTTTATATTATGCATATTTATTTAATTATTTGTATTTATTTATTGTATAAAGAAAAAAACAGGAATCAACTTTTTTGAATATTACTATGTACTATGATGAATGCAAAAAACAAGCAAGTTTTACTTAGACCTTTGTTTTTGTATTATGCATATTTATTAAATGTTTTGCAAGTTGTGCGAAAAACAAACGAATGGAAAAAAACTTTAAACGAGATTTTTTTTTCAGAAAAAAAAATATATATACATACAAATATATATACATATATTTATAATTTTTTCCTGCATATTTTGTAAAAAAGCATGCTATAAAATGAAATGTACCTGCTCCAAAAGCCAATATGATGCCGACCCAAGCCAAGATATAGGACCATGAGAATCTCCAGTCGATGTAGCGTTTGCCGAAGAAGTTGACGGTCATGCCGGTGTAGATCGCCAAAGCCAAGAGCGCAAGAAATCCTGCAGAAACACAGACCGCTTCAAAGCAGAAACCACCGCAAACCAGACCATAAAAACCACTGCAACACACACTGAACCTCGCACTGCTGAGCTGATCATCACTGCACAGACATCAGTGTTTATGAAGCAGAAATCTGCTCAAAATGTAGTAAATGTCTTTAACAACTGAAATAATATAATTTCTAATAACTGTACGTCAGATGTTTTTAACTTAATTTAAATTTTAATAACTTAAATGTCAAACGTTTTTTATTTAAACATTTAAATGTAATTTTTTATAACTAAAAATTAATTTTTTTTACTTATTTTAAATACTTAAAATTTAAGTATAAAAATAAAGTCTAAAAATGTCAAATGTTTTAACAATATAATAATTACATTTAATTATTATTAGCTCTCAAATGTCAAATAATGTAGAGTCTTCATTATGATGGATACACCAACTATACACAGATTTTTAAATGGAAAAGCAAAAAAAAAAGAATTTGAAAAAAACTGAAAACAATTTTCATAAATAAGTTGTATGACTGTAAGTCTTTCACAATGAAAAAGCAAAAATATAATGAGTTAATATTAATATTAATAGATACAGAGTATAAAAAAACATTATTTGTCATATTTTCCTTGAACATGAAATTAAGTTTCATGTTTTTAATAATTAGGAATATTGCATTTACATTTAGTCATTTAGCAGACGCTTTTATCCAAAGCTACTTACAAATGAGGACAATGGAAGCAATCAAAATCAATAAAAGAGCAATGATATACAAGTGCTATAACAAGTCTCAGTTAGCTTAATGCAGTACACGTAGCAAGGGCTTTTTAAATAATATAATAAATAAAATGAAAACAGACAGAATAGAAAAAGAATAGAGCAAGCTAGTGTTAGAGGTCTTGTTGCTTTTGCTAATTGTATAATAAATAAAAATAAAACAAATAGATAGAATGCAAAAAGATTAGAGAAAACAAGCAGTTTGTAAACGAATAGAGTGCAAGTCTAAAAGGGGCATTCTTTTTTTTTAAAGAATAGAAATAGAATAGAGAGTGCTAGAGTTAGAGGGTCAAATAAAGGTGGAACAGATGTGTTTTTAGTCGTTTCTTGAAGATGGGTAAGGACTCAGCTGCTCGGATTGATTTGGGCAGGTCATTCCACCAGGAGGGAACAGTTAATGCAAGTTTCATAAACTATGACTGAACACAGAGCTTATTTTTTGCGATAATCCAAAAGCGTATGGAAAAATCCTATTGGCTTTTTGTCGAGGGAACCAGTGCTAACAGCCGATCCGCCTACAAAGTGACGTCATAGTTCCCCCACTCTATTTACCGCGGTTTAACCGCACTCACCCACGGTCAGCGTGTGGGCGTGGCACTTGCGATTGATGCAGAACCTCCAGAGGCCCTGATTGGCTGCATTCCCTGAGTAGCGATACTGCATCCAATAGTCAGTAGCCGTGGAGATGACGAGGAGCACGAGGGCCGCCGCTCCACACAGAGAGGCCCCGCCCACCAGAGTGAACACCATCAATCAGAGGATCGGAACGCCCTCCTGCACAAACACACACACACGTTCACTAATGATCACCGCTAATGAAACAACTGCTCACTAACTGATCAATACTGTACTGAACACGCTAGTGCTGAAGAATTGGCTTTAAGTTTGTGTGCCAGACACGAAAAAAGTGCAAAAACACATAGCAACCGCATGGCAATGTGCCAACAGCCAATCAGAACACTTTAGTAACCGCATAGCAACTGCCTGGCAACCACGCAACAAGTTTTGCGCATGCAAACACCGCTCATATTTTCGGTAAAAGTGCATTTGAAAATATTACACTGAAACGTGATTCAGCTTTTCATTTTTTTCTCAGGATAAAAACTTTAAAGCATGCAAAATGTACAAATTTAGGTAAAATATCTTATTTGTTACTATTACAAATAGGAAATGAATTTTAATGGATATATTAGTAAATAAAACAACAATAATAATAATACTAAATTATGCGATAAATTAAATGTGTAATTTTATAACAAATACATAACATTTATTAATACATAAACATAAATAGTAATAATAATAATAATACATTATATGATACATTAAATGTGTTATAATGTACAACATATAAACAATAACAATGAATTAAAGGACAAATTAAAAGTATTTGTGTAAATATAAATATAGCCTACAACATGTAAATACTACTACTACTAAATTATAGGATGGATTAAATCCAATTGTTTAATTTCTATAATAAATATATAAACATATATTTTCAAAATACAAAACCAAAATAAACTTTGCAAGAAACTTTCAAGTGTCATTAATGGTTTTAGACATCTTTAAACAATTTATTTTATGAATAAAAATGTGTAGTTATGATACATGTTTGTCATTTAAATCATTATAATATGTTTAAACGTATTTAAATTTTATCGTTATATTCCACAATAGCAAATAGAAATCCACCTATTATTTTGCTTCTAATAAACACTGTATTAATGCCATATTAAATGTCCAAAGATGAAAGATCTCAATATTATTGAAGGCACTTTTGGAGAGATATATGATGCTACATGAGGGAAAAAAAATTTCAACAGGGATGTTACATTTATGTAAACAAAGTTTCTTGGCAGAGAACATTAGAATGTCTGTTCTGGGAACCAGAAACTAACGTTAGCTGAACGTTCTGGGAACCAAAATTTGCTAGCTGGTCAAATCGATCCAGAACACTTGGACTGGAGGTTTACAGGGTTTGAAGGATGAAGAAACATTTCGCCAGCACATATCTACATATAGTTACACTCAAAAGATCATTCAATACGTGAGCGAACTAGTCAGAAAACACAGAACGTTCCCCTAACGTTGCCATATGGTTATTCTTTTGGAAGCCAAATAAAAATGTTAGAGGAATATTCTCCACACCTAATGAGAACATTCTATTTACGCAATTAATGTTTTCTGTCAGAGAACGCTAGAATGTCTGGGAACCAGAAAGTTATGTTCTCAGAACGCTCTGGGAAGCTAAATTTACTAGCTGGGAATCTGTAGACGTCAATTCAATTAAAATCTAAATTCAAGGTGTTTATCAATTTTGTTACAGATAATGTTTCATTTGATTGTGAAATAAATTGCATCTTGCACAAGTGCGTTTATACAGTATTAGGGTTGGGTATCGAGAACCGGTTCCATTTTAGAACCGGTTCCAAATTTCCAATAATCGGGTATTCGATAAGACATGTGCATTTCGATTCCGCTTAACGATTCCCGCGTTCGCATTTTAATGTGATTAATCACATTATATATGATATATCATCATAAACACAGCCGTTTTTTTGTCTTAAGTGAACGTAAACAGTCAGTTTTATTTATGCTATTGCTAATTAATTTGTTTACTTTTCTTTAACAATTTAATGTTTGAAATTTATATTAGTCGTTTTTTTCTGTGGTATTTTTTTGATAAAACCATAGACATAAAACATAATAAATATTTGACATCTAAATATTTGACTTAAAATTGGTTTAATGGATTTTTTTATCTTATTGGAATCGGAATTAGGAATCGATAAGAATCGGAATCGATAAGCAGAATCGGAACCGGAATCGATAAAATTCAAACGATACCCAACCCTATACAGTATGCATCTAAATGAAACCATATCCTTAATTCAATTGAAATTTAGATTTGGAATTTTTGCAGATTGAGAATCACGATTCATTGCTAAATCCATTTGTCAAACAAACACAACAAATAAAAATGGGGGTGGGGAAATTTTTTTTTTTTACAATTATAATTAACAATGGAAACTCTGAGAGAATATTAAGGCAGATGCGGCGGTGATATTATTAGCGACATTAGAACATGTTCACAGGATTATAAACGTACATAAAAGTGATGCACGGGCTTCATCTTGGGCTTTTTTCTTTTTCTTATCTCGGCGCCGGACTACTGATGTCTGTTCCCGGGCATAGTTGTCCATCAGTTATGATCATTTGCATTCAGCCGCAAACATGAGGTGAGAGCGAGCGCGTCACGTGTGCTTCGCCTGTCTACTGCGTTCACCGTAAAACGCATTTTTTAAAATAATTTTGTATATATGTTCATGTTTATTTTTATTTACGTATATGTATTTGATAATATTAAAATAGAACGAAAGTTTTTTTTGAGCAACTGGGATGGTGCCCTACGCAAACTGCGTACTCTGCGTATCGGGAGCGGCGGTACGGTTTATATGGTTCACATTTTTTAATATTGAAATTCTATATGAAAACTATACCAAATCACAGTAATGAAAAAAGAAAAAAAAATCAGTATTATTTAAGAAAACATCAATTTGTCATTCAGTTTTCATTTATTTAAAATGTTACTAACAATCCAAGCAGGTTTTTCACATATAAATTGGCATAATTAATTCAGAAAGATCAGGAAGTTCACGTATACACCTGACGTTCATATACTACAAAGTATACGCTAGACATGAAAACACGCAGCATTATAACAATGCTGAAAAACATCATCAGTCTGAACTGCGTCTGACTGCTGGAAGGGTTTAAACCCTTATTTATAATCACATGAGTCAAAGTCCAAGCAAAACAACATGTCATCGGTAACGAAAGGGCTGGGCCGGACAAGGAGATTAGCGTATAGCGCTATAGACTCGTAAATGACACGAGCAGCTCAATCAATCGGTCTGAATGAGGACGAGACGGGCGTCCATCACTTCTTATTCGCATGGCCTTTTCCGGCCTTCATGCCCCGCCCTCCTTTATGGCCACGCCCTCCTTTGCCCCGCCCCCTCTGCTCCTTCCTCTGCGCGGCTCTCGTGTCTTTCTTCAACCGCCCGTCCACCACGCGGAAAGTGCCCTTGACTCCGGCGGGACGGTGCACCCTGCGTCCCACGCCCTTCTTAGCCACGATGTACGTGATGTCTCGCTTCTCCTTCCCCACGCCGGCCTTCTTGTAGATGCTGTGAGCGGAGGAAAGAGAAAATGATTAGGCTTCAGTGCGTTGGGAATGAAACGAAGCGGACGTGTGGATGTCGAGGCCGACCTCTTGAGCTGAGCCATCTTCTCTCGCTCTGAAATATCCACCGTGTCCACCACAGCTTCGGCCTTCTTCTTGGCCTGCTCCATCTTCTTCAACATCTACAACAGAAAACACGCATTTAACGGCCAGATTCACTCTGAGTTTTCTGAAATCAAAGTATGTTTGTAGCACCAGAAACAGCCAGAACTGTTTGACCATTTTCCCCTGGATAAGGATTTTTAAAAACATTTTGATATAACTAGAGAAAAACAATGTACCTTTCTGTAATGTAAAAAATTATAAAAATGTTATAGTAATATAATATAATAATAATAATAAACAGAACATCAAATTGAAAAGTAAAACTTATCCAATATAATGAAAACAAACAGGTTTTAAATACAAAATTCCATATTAACTACATAATAAATAAAATCATATTACCATATTGATTAATTATATATTTTAACAACAACAATTTAAAAACTATATATATATATATATTAGTGCTGTCAAACGATTAATCGCATCCAAAATAAAAGTTAGTTTACATAATATATGCGTGTACTGTGTATATTTATTGTGTATATAAGACACACACATACAGTATATATAGTGATATTTACATGTATATATTTATATTCATATAATTTATATTATATATAAATATATTTAATATATAAACATAACATCTTTTTCTGAAACGTATACATGCTCTGCTTCGCGTCGTGCCTAACAACGCCCTTCAGCCGTGATTTATTCACAATACAGCACGGCCTCGAGTACCTTACTGCTTTTATAAAACGGTTACCGATTATAAATATATTTAATATATAAACATTACATATTTTTCTTAAATATATACATGCATGTGTGTGTATTTATATACACATAATAAATATACACAGTACACACACACATATATTATGTAAACAAAAACTGTTATTTTGGATATGATTAATCACGATCAATATATATATATATATATATATATAGACAACAATGTTTACATTTTATTATAATAATAAAAATAATAACAATAAATTATAACAATCTGAAAATCATTTTTATAACTCAATTTAATGTTGATGTATCTTTTAAATATAAAAACTATATAATATCAACAATAACATGAATTTTTAAAATGCAATCATATATTTCATTGTTACTATTAATAATATTCATTATTATAATAATAATAAAAACTATACAGCATTCTCTCTCTTCTCATCACTCGTCAGCTTTTCATACATTTGCTCTTAAATTGTTTAAGATGTCAGGGCTGTCTCACCCGTCTCTTCTTGCGCGCTTTGGCCTCTGCGACGCGTCTGACTGGCCGGGCGTTGATTTCCCGCCATTTCTGCTTGTATTCCTCCACCATTTCCTTGGTGATGGGAACAGGCCTCTTCCGGTGCTTCTTTTCATCGTCAAAAAGCCAGGCGGGAACTTCGGTCATATCCTCAGAATTCGCAAACCTACGAAAGAAGCACGAAGACGATGTTATTACCTCAGAAACGCACCAATAACGTAATCGTTAAGTGATTAGCGCAGTCTGACCTGTGGAAGGAGCCGTCGATCAGGTCTCGCGCTCGCTTTTTGGACGTAGCGATCTGAGTGCCGAGCGCCAAACCCTCCGCGTTGAGAATTCGCACACGTTTGTCTGCGAAAAAAATAAAATAAAAATTTAATCTACTATTAACAATGAAACTATTTTCAAATGGCATTGAATGTTAAATACAATTCTCAACTGACTTATTTTTTCAACAGAAACAACTTGAAAGTTGTCGTCATCCGTTGCTCCACTCGCGCCAACAGCTGCCGAGGCTTGTTTCATTTGCGCAATTTCTCTGTCGGAAAAAAAATCCTTTTTAGCAAACAAAATCAAGTATAGAAGCGTTAATACTAACAAAAGTATACATGTCTCACCTTTCATCATCGCTGCTGTCGTCATCAGAGTCGCTGTTGTCTTCATCCGCATTCACTTCCTGTGAGGGTGCGGCCACTTCCTGTTTCTGCACGGCAGGCTCCGCCTCCTCTTCCACTTTCCTCTTTTTGCCTTTTCCGGTCTGCAGCAGCTGGGTTTGTTTCAGTTCGCTCAAGGCATCGGTGTCGTCGTCCAAATCCAGCTCGGCAAAGATGTCCTGCGCAACGTAAAGAAAACGTTAAAATCTACCGTAAACCGGTTTTGTTTAAGTCTAAATGCGCGATTCACACCTTGCTGAACCACATGCTGGTCTCGCGCTCTCTCTTCTCGTCTTTTCCTTCCAGTTCGACGAGTAACTTGTTCCCGTTCGCTTCCCCTTCGTCCTGCGGCTCGCCGGCGAACGAAACTCTGCAGAAATGCAAAAAACAGCAGTGAATTTCTTGGAAACAACTATTCGTATACAGTTGTAAAACTTTAAAATTGTGTTATTGTAACTCATTTAATCTTCATTTTTTTATGATCTATACTTCCTTTCTCCCATAAAACACACATAAAAAAAATACAGTTTCTATGAAATATTACAAAGATTTACAATGGGAAGTATAGTTTGTGCCAAAGTATCAGTTTTTACAATTACTGCTACAGAAATAATGTAGGAACCTGCTATTAGCTACCTATGTTAAGAAAATGTATTAATATTTACATTATGTTTATATATTAATAATTATAAAGTTAATATAAAACAAATATAAAAACAAAACATAAAAATCTAAAATAAATATTGTTCACATTATGCTTTAAATATAAAAAAAATTTATACACATTTATGTTTAAAAAAATCTGACAGTACTATTTTAACGGCAAAAGATGGTTTGCACTGGCGCAAGCTGTTAGTAAAACTGGCCCTTAGTTTTTATATTGATAAAACAATTAAAATATAAACACACACATAAATAAAAAAAAATTAAATTTATAAAATATATATTTTACATATATGACAATTAATATCGTATAATATTATTTATAACAAAAGTCAATAAATAAATATTTACTTAATATTTTCACACATTTTTATATTCAAAATAAACAAGTATAAAAAATAATGTAAATATAATGTATTATTTCATACTATATATATATATATATATATTAGTGCTGTCAAAATTAGCGCGTTAACGCAGGCGATAAATTTTTTTCAGTTTAACGCATTAAAAATATTTAATGCAATTAACGCAGGAGCGGAGCTAGGGTTGGCCACTCCACTCACAACTGCTGTTTTTTTCTGTCACTTTTTTCCTTGACAAGAAGTGCATTTATTCGGTCACAGAACGTCTTTACGATCACATCAAACGGGAGACGTTTCAGATGCGCGCTCCAGCTTCACTTCAGCGCCAGTGTATGTGTTTCTGTATATTTCCTACTTGCTGAAGGGCACAGGTAACTAAATATGAATATAACTAACTAATTATTATAATGGGTTTATGTGAAGATGGTTTTAAGTTCACTTAAATTAGAAGTTATTTTAAGTAGTCTAATAAATGTTAAAATTGATAGCTCTTGTAATGTTGAATGGCTAGTCAATGGTTAAATATTAGAGGAAAAACTATTTCCTAGAGACATCATTTTAAAAACTTTAATGTTAGGTGGGATTAAATCATGATAAATTTCAGAAAAAATGTGTGATTAATTAGTAAAATTTTTTAAATCGACTGACGGCACAAATATATATATATAAATAATTTCAATGTATATTTTTATATACCTTAATTTGAATTATACATTTATTATATGAAATATATAAAATAATTATTTTTTATATTATTAGTTTTTAAATTATTTTTTATTTAATATAAAATTCTAATATCATTTTATAATTCATATATGTTAATGTAACTTATATTACAAACCAAACTAAACGTGTTCCACAAAAGGAAGGAAAAAGAACCGCACTTTTTCTTCTTAGGCATCTTTTCCTCGATTTCTTTCTCCTTCTTCTCGATCTCCTCGAGGTCGTCTGAGTCAAGGTCAGAGGCCAGAGACATTCGCTCGTCCTCGTCTTCGTCTGCAGAGATGTGCAGGTCGTCCGCTTCCTCCTCGTCCACTAAAGCGTCGGCTCCCTTCATGTCTCCCTGTGTGATTTCACTCAGACCCTGAGGATCACAAACACCACCATCAGGACGAGCTCAGGAGTCCCTCATCGTCCTCAAGAACTGCTGCTTTCTTACCTGGGCCTTCTTGATGGCGCTGAGGGAAAACATGGAGGAATCGCTGGTTTCGGCGATTGAGACGCCGGGAAGATCCATCTTCAGCTCCACTCGCTCCCTCTGCTTCCGCTTCTCCTTCAGCAGCTTCTTCTTCTTCCTGTTTACCAACAAAAACACACATCAAACCTGTTAAAAACACCAGCCTCAAAGACGCCAATTTAACGTTCATACAGCACGGTTATTATTGGTAATTAAAACTAAATGAAAAAAAAAAAAAATTCAGTACTTAAAAAAAAAAAAATATATATATAACATTTTATTTCAGCTAGTTTCCAAATTTCTAAAATAACTACATATAAATATTTATGAAAATTATTATTTTTTTAAATTAAAATTACACAATTACTAAAACTTTAACTAAAATATTAGCTGAAATCTACTTCAAGATATTAAACGATAATAAAAATACTTACCATTAAATCATTAAATAAATGAAAATATATTGGTAATATTTAGATTTTGTTGATATTTCATTACTTATATTAATATTTAGACCATTTATATTTTATGAATGTTTAGATGAAAGAAAACAGAAAATACCCGTCATAAAACGTCATACATAATATATATATATATTTATTAGAGCCCGACCGATATATCGTTTAGCCGATATTATCGTCCGATATGAGCCTGTCGCCGATATATCGGTATCGGCAAATATGCCGCCGATATGAATTTTTTTTTTTACAGAACATATAACGCAGATAAAATGCTTGAAATGGTGTAATTACTTAGTTTGTCCATTGTTTGCTACTGGCGACCTGGATGAAACGCTTTAAAGCTTAAGCCTATGGAAAACCATTGAAACTTTGAACGGCCATATCTCCGTAAAGGCGCGGCGAATCCGCACCAAATTCGCGAATCGAGTGTACGCCTCGAGGCCCTCTTTCGAATGAGCGTCGATAGCCCCTGGGGTCTGTTACGTACACATTACATTCAAAGGGCATTAAAGTGCGCGAGAGGTGAATTTATATTTTCAGAGGTATATTATGTCACACTTCACACTTTTTTCTAATTTTCAAGCGCAAATCCGTGAATGAATGTTCCGAAGTGAAATAAACTTCAACGGAATAAAGTTGAATGGAACTGAATTGAAGTTGAATAAACTTCAACTTTACTGTTCAGTGCACTGATGTCAGACTCATTTTGGATAATAAAGTTTGTTAAATTGTTAAATGCCCTGCCTCCATTTACGTATCTCTGTCACGTCATTATAAGTGTTTGATCACCACATTTGCAAAAAATGTGTTTATGTATATATATTCTGTTTATGTATATACTGTATTCTATATATAGTACCAGTCAAATGTTTGTATATATATATATATATATATATATATATACACACACACACATGCGATTAATCGCATGATTTCTCTGCGATTAATCGTGATTAATGATATTTACTCGTTCATATTTTATTAATAGTTTAGATTAGATCAAATGTATTTATCATTTAGTGATTTAATTTAATTATATTAATAATATTTAGATTGTTTGTAATTCCGTAACCATTAAGATTACTATTAAATCACTTAAAAACAATTAAAATAGAGTAATACTATTTACATTAAGTCAGCATATCAATAATAATATAACACTGTTCAAACTGTATTGATAGTTTGGATTAGATTATATAAATGATAGTAAAATCACACAGTTGTACTGTGATATAAATCTACCGTTTGAGTTCGGCGAACTCTTCGGCTTTCATCTCCGCCAGCTTCTTCTCCATCTCCTCTTCCTCCCCGTCTGCTGCGTTCTCCTCATCCTTCTGTTCGCCTCCCTTTCTCTTGCTTTCCTTCTCGTCAATATCGCTATCATCGTCATTTGAGCTAACACCGCAACAGAATGCGTAATTATTAACAGAATTTTAATCTACGATATGTGAATTCTATGACGTGATGATGACGCACCTCATTTCCTGGTCCAGCTGCTTGGCATCCTGTTTCAGCTTTTTAGCCAGGAACCTCCTCAGCTTGGATCTCCATGACAACAGCAGACTAACAACACAACAGCCAATCAGATTTCGGCTACGAACACTGACTCTCCATATATGGTCAACAAGCGCAGTGACTCACCGCAGTTCCTTTCGGCCCAGGACTTTAATATCGCAGCAGCACTCTCTGATTTCTGGTGAAGTGATGGGGTGCGATTCCAGCTCGGGGTTATTGAAGGTTATCTGGAGCAGGAACAGATGGAAATTAGACGTAGAAACACATGACAAACATATGCGCTGATGTCTGGAATGTAAGTGTAGTGGTCTGAAATCGTACTTCATTGGCTTTGCTCAAGAAATCGACAGGGTTTTCGGCTTTTAAGAATTCGGTCACCGAGAAGGTGTGATACAGAGTGAGATCGCCGTCGCTGTAGCCTTCAGCCTGAAACAACGCAGAAAAATATGTAAATGAAAAATAAATAAAAATGTAAAAAAAAAAGAAAAAAAAAAAAGTTACAATTACATGGATAATAGTTTTTATAAAATAACTTATAATAATATACAATAGGCCTAAATGTTATAAAATATAAAATATATAATAAAATAATAAATACATTTCATGAAAATATACTAATGTAAACATAAGTAAAATGTAGTCAGACATACCTTGGGCTTTTTCTTGCTAACCAGCTCGTTGACAGATTTCACTTGTATGTCAACCTCTTTGAAAGCATGTTTGGGGTCGAAGAACTTGTTGTCAATTTTATCCGGAGCCAAAAAACCTGAAGAAAAGGGAAATATTATTCATTTAGACAAGCAGACAGATAAAAAGAACAATAGAATTATAGAACAGGTGATAGAAATAATGAGTGAAACAATGAATGAAACAAAACAGAGATGTAGAATGAACGATAGAATGAATAATAGATAGAACAAACAACAGGATGATAGAACAAGCGAACAATAGACAGAATGACAGAAAAATGATATAGATAGATAGATAGATAGATATAACGATAAATAGAACAAAAAACAAATCGACAGAACAAAAATGAAAAATAGATGCAATTAGAACAAACAATAGAACAAATGATAAAACAAACACAACAAATAAACTATATAGATATAATTATAATGAATGATAGACAGAATTTTATCATAAACAAGAGAATGAACGATAGAACAAGCGAATGACAGAATGATATCTAGAACAAACAATCAAATGATTGAACAAACAAACAAAAGAACATGCAAACAATAGCTAGAACAAAAACAAATCATAGCTAGAACAAACAACTGAACGACAGAATAAGTGAATGACAGCTAGAACAAACGATAGAACATGCAAACGATAGCTAGAACAAAAACAAGCAATAGAACAAGTGAACGATAGCTAGAACAAACAAACGATAGAACGTGAACGACAGCAAGAACAAACGATAGAACAAGGGAACGATAGCTAGAACAAACAAACAATAGAACATGCGAACGATAGCTAGAACAAACAAACAATAGAACATGCAAACGATACCTAGAACAAAAACAAGCAATAGAACAAGTGAACAATAGCTAGAACAAACAAACGATAGAACATGAACGACAGCAAGAACAAACGATAGAACAAGGGAACGATAGCTAGTACAAACAAACAATAGAACATGCGAACGATAGCTAGAACAAACGATAGAACATGCAAACGATAGCTAGAACAAAAACAAGCAATAGAACAAGTGAACGATAGCTAGAACAAACAAACGATAGAACATGAACGACAGCAAGAACAAACGATAGAACAAGGGAACGATAGCTAGAACAAAAACAATAGAACATGCGAACGATAGCTAGAACAAACAAACAATAGAACATGCGAACGATAGCTAGATCAAACGATAGAACATGCAAACGATAGCTAGAACAAAAACAAGCAATAGAACAAGTGAACGATAGCTAGAACAAACAAACGATAGAACGTGAACGACAGCAAGAACAAACGATAGAACAAGGGAACGATAGCGAGAACAAAAACAATAGAACATGCGCATGCGAACGATAGCTAGAACAAACAAACGATAGAACAAGTGAATGACAGAACATGCAAACGATAGCTAGAACAAAAACAAGCAATAGAACAAGTGAACGATAGCTAGAACAAACAAACGATAGAACATGTGAAC